CGGCGTGTTTGGGGTTGGGGGCAATGCAAAAATATTTTTTTTTAAAACCTAATGTTTTTTTTATATTTTGCGACTTTTTTTTTTTTGTTTTGAAAAGGCTCCCGTGGGGTAATACCCCCCCCCCCCCCCCCCCCCAAAATGCAAATAGGGGGTGGAAAGAATGACGGAGGGCACTTACTATGGCGGAATTCGATGGTCCTATAGCCGAGGCCTCTGAAATTCCATTTCCAATTCTTGAGCTTCCACCCAAAAGACCTCCTATGCATATCATCGTCGAAACACATCAACTCGGCTAGCTCATAGATGTCCTCCGTGTCACGGATGGCTTCCCAGCAGCTTTTCAAGTTATTTAGAGGCAGTCTGCCGTTATACTCCGGTCTAACCCTGTTCCTCTTGGCAAACCTATCGCAATGTTTCCAACCCCCCGGACGCTTCTTGTCGTTCACGTGTGTCATTCCAGGGAGGATAGCGTCGATCGCTTGCTCGAAATAGACAACGCAAAAGGCGAGCTGTTGGGCCACCTCTATTGGGAATTCAATATTCTTGAGCGAGAAGTGCACTACAAATACCCACAAGTTAGAAAATCCCACTTATGGTAAGTAATTGACGGACATCACATCAGAGGTTGCGTAGGCAGCAAGTTAGCTAAAACACAGAACTGGAAACCAGGGGACACGCACCGTGAGTGCTAGCCATCTTCCAGTACTCGATACTTGGGACCTTGAAAGGCTCGATGATCTCCCACATGACGCGAAATTTTTCCTTGTGTTTCGAGGTATTGATGGACATTGGGGGGGATTTTATCTCAATAGGTGATCCCACCCCTACGCGGTATTAATTATGATTGATCAGTTACATGGCTATTAAAGTATGTATTTAGGTAGGGAACGGAAACAGACCTTGCAGCTCGTGCCCGACCTCGATACTTGGGTCAAGAGTAATAGCCCATTGTCGATAATTACGTTCATGGTCGACAGCGCTGTCATAAGCGAGGAGGCCTTTTTCGTTGAACAATCTAGCAAGTTCGCGTAAGGCTTCCGTCCCCGCTAGCAGCTCGTCTTTTTCTGTGTCCTCGTTCCATTTCGTTATGGCCAGAGGTGCCTCCGTCTCAACACCGACGCAAAACTTGGCTTCCTTTCTCTCCCGTGTCGGCTCACTTTGATTGTTACCCATGCTGTAGTGAGAATTGGGAGTATGTGCTGCTCGAAATTGTATATTGTAGCGCGCCGAATCAATTCATGTCAGTCTGTTGATGACGGGACCTGCAGTACTTCGACATCTTGGAAGTACTTAAGCCGAGCATGAGCTATGGGTTTTATCCCGACATATATAGGTGGCAGCGCCTGCATTCGATACGAAAGTTGCAGTACGAAAGGCATAGTTGCCGATAACAAAGTAAGTAAAGGCAGGCGCCGTGAAGTCATATAGCGTTGTAAAAGCCGTCACGCGGAAGGTGGTTAGATTCAGATAGATTGAACCTTGCACCTTGAGCCTATTGTGTAGGATGACAAGGGAGCGGCGTTGGCTGGGAAGGTGTTGCGTTATCCTCAGTGGAGGGAGTCACGAAGGATAGTTCGATGAACCTAGGGGTAGATAGCCTGTTTCCCCAAGGGCCGGTTTTCATCAATCCATTTATTTCTCGCTCAACAGCCCCTTGCTTGTTAGTACCATCCGACAATAGAATTCCCGAGAGCACAACCTTCTCTCAAAGCAACTTGTACGACTGTTGTCGTCACTTTCCTTTGCTCTCGCTCCAGTCGGGACTACGCTACCGGTAGCTTATCCATAGCGTCTGTCTTATTTGTATATCCTTTACCTTATTGCTATACTATTTAATTTTTTTATTCTAAACTTCCGTCTATTTTCCTTTCCTTTTCCTATCAACTCATATTTTAGGCAAGAGTCTCTCTAAAATGGAACAGAACCGAAAGATGTAGTTCCTGGCGCTGTTTTACTTCTACGGTAACTCCTCTCCCTTCGAAGCCCCTAATACGGTTACAGAAATCTCGGTGTTGCACCTCAACGATCTATTAATTGGGTATCTAGTAGCACGTGCCATATTTCGTAACAAGACTTGATGACGCCAAGATTCTATCTACTAGAATCTATGAATCTGATCCTTCGTGTATCCCAACTCACCTAATATGCCCTGCTGCCTCCGGCTTCCGACAAGCGCATTCTCCATAGCCGGCGGTCCGCACACGAACACCTTTGTACCCCCAGTTTCTGGTGTCGTCGTCATCACCTTACTCAAAAGCTCCTTTGTCACATATCCTTTGGCGTAAGGAGACCCAGGGACGGGATTGCTGACAGTATAGATGGCCTTGAAGCGATTCGGGAACCGCCGCTCGAAATCCTCAAACTCCGGCTTCAGCAGCACGTCAGCGTCTGTGTTCACGCCAAACACCAGAGTTATGCGGGTTTTATCTTCGGGGTTGTGCAGGATCCCCTGGATCAGCTGGTAGATGGGTGTGATGCCGGCGCCTCCGGCAATGAGCGTGACATCGGGATGCTTATTTGGGACCCATTTGTACCCCGGGATTGGTGTTACAAAACGTAGATAGTCCCCAGGTTGCAAGGAGTGTAGGTGGGTACTTTGTTTCCCATTGGGATACTTTTTCACCATTAATTCGATGACGCCAGCCTCGTCTACAGTATTGTTAGCCATGCGAACGTAGCGTATAATAAATATAATTGTCCGATCTTACTACTCTTTGTAATGGGCGTATAGGGCCGGACGCAAGGCAGAAGGCAGCCTTTTGGCCAAGCAAACGTAAGCAATGCAGCTATTCGATCAATTAGATTTGTTTGCTTCATCTTGCTAGCCTACCCTACAGTGGAATACTTACATGTGAGTGTTAGTCCGCTGACGTGCTCGTCCGTTGGTAAGGCAAAGCGTAGTTTCTTAGTGTTGTGGTTTACAACTTCACTGCTCTGTAGCCGAAGTGATAAGAACGCTGGGCCGCCCCCAAACGCTTTTGGGGGTGCACCATTGTCGGCATGGGCAACATTTATCATGTATCGTGAGTAAACCCCTATTCCAACACCAGCCAAGGCGACGCTTCCTAGTACGCTCGGGAGTTTGCCTGTCCAAATGGTGCTGGCAGCCATGACTAGTCGACTTTATGATTGCTCCTAGGGCTGGGGGTACAGGGGTTGAGGGTTTATGAAGGCCGAAAAGAAAAGTTAGAGTATCGAACGTGTTGAGGGAGACGGACTGCCCCAATTCCTTTCCTGTTCAGGACGGCGGTGATATCTGGTTGGCCCAAAGAATAGTGGGGGCCGGGTGTAAGTGTGGTTATCTTATGAACCCTCCGACAAGGTGCATGTGTATAACGGTCGAACAATAAAATTGCAGAATGGCAGAATTAACTTTATATAGAAAGGTAGTGCTGTCAATTTAAATTTAAATACATTTGGATCTAAGTGCTCCTCTCGGATAATACATGTCTCTTTCTTCGGTCCCGAGGCGTTCTCCGATGGTGGGTAGGGGACGGGAATTTGAGTCCGAAGTCCGACCCTCAAGTGTGGTCTGACTCTCGGTCGAAAGCTATCTAAATATAGTGACATATCGGAAAAAGATCCGAGGGGCGTTTACATTCCTATTCATAGAATTTAGGCATCTGTGTTCAATAGGAATTAAGGCACGCAGATAACCCTTCCCGCGAACCTAAAGCATCCGTCCCGTAGGACTGACATCGGGGACAGGAGCTTAAAAGCCCCGTGATCGCTGTGGAGAGCCGGGACCGATTCAGTTGGCCAAGATTAGGCCGAAACAAAACGGGGAGAGGAAAAAAGGAAAGACGCGTTTCCACAAGCCTGTTGGTCTTACCAACGCTAGAAACAAAATGAGACGGTACTAATGGGGCTCAAACATCAGCGATCAAAAATCTGATTGAAGCGCAAAAAGGGCTCGACAACGACAGGACTCACCCGCGACCCCGAAGGCATACGGTCCAACGTACGCTTTAACCGCTCAGCTACATTACCGTCGCCAATCGGCCAATTCACTATGAGTACTATATTATACCAGAGCGTAGAGAGCCAATAGTCGCCCAAGTCGCTTGTGATCATAGTGCTTGGAATTATCGCGTCACACTATCGTCCAGTCAATTGACTCGAGACATATACTACCAAGAACAGCAAATCCTATGGGGGCGCTAGAGCTCAGAAAAGAAGAATTCTCCCAATAGCAGAAATATAGCGATAATAAAAGGCAATACCCTAGTGGGCTTTCCCTCTTCGATCATTAACATACATATCAAAAAAGGAGCAAGTGCATCTCTAGGCAAGATACCTACTAAAGCTACCATACGCTAGCATTCCGTCTAGCGACGCAGTTATACAGGCTGTTTTTACCCCCTTGCGTTATATAGGTGCATGTTTTTGTCGAGCTTGCTGCACTTGTCCTAGAACTAGAAATTGAATGGAACCTAACAAAGCAAGAAGTTGGCGACCATGTGCAGGTCTATGCCAACCAGGATAGTTGTCAGTGGATTTGGCACAGAGTGAATAGAAGACTAGCCTACGGCTAGGAAGAAGGATAGTTAGGGCTTAATAGAGTAGTCAATTGATTCCTGAACCAGCCAGGTCCCAGGGGGACCTGGCACCTATATATATAGCCAGAACCTAGGAATATAACCACCCTACGGGTTGGTTATATTGTCACTTAACAGAGTGCCCCCTTTACCAGTACTTTGTTCTTAAAGCACTATAGCAGTAAGTAAAGCCTACTATAACAAAGTTATCCTACTAACCAAGCTAGTGCCACGCTGGTAGTTAGCAGTATTTTTAAAGCCAGTTAACCTAAAAGTTTAAAAATAAGGTTTTAAAAACAACCTACAAATGCTTCATAAAAGCTACACAGTAGCCATACAAAAGCTATTTTATTAGGTGCCTAAGGCCTTTAAAATACTCTTGTAATAAAGCCTTTAAAGCCTTTAAAATAAACATTTTTTAAAAACTTAAAATAACTTATAAGTACTTTAAACATATTATATAATAGTTATATAATAGTTATATTAACAAGTGCTTTTAAACCACCTTTTTAATTAAACTAAATTAGTTTTTTAAAGCTTTTTAAAATAGCTTTTTAACTAAAGTTTTTTAAACTAAACTTTTAAAGCTTTTAAACCGCTATTTAATTAAACTTAGCTAGTTTTTTAAAGCTTTTTAAAGCTTTTTAAGTTTTTTATTAAAACTTTTTAAGCTTTTTTTTAATACTTTTTTTATGTTTTATAAAAGCTATAAAGCAGCTATATAAAGGTTTTTTTAAAAAATATTTTTTTAAATATTTAATTACTTTTTTAATTATTTAATAGCTTTATTTTATTTATTTATTAGTTAGCTTTTATTATTTTTAATATTTGTTTTATTTGTTTTAATATTTTTTTTTTTTTTTTTTTTTATTTTTTAATTATTTTTTTAACTATTTAAAAGCTTTATTTTATTTACTTTTTAACTAGCTTTTAAAACTTTTTTTGTTTATATGCTTTTTTTTTAAATAGTTGCTTTAATAGCTATTATACTGCTTTTTTTGTTTTAAGTTAATAAACTACAAGCTATTTAAACAAAATATAAGCTGCTAATCTTTTAAAATAAAAACTTAGCATTAAAAAATAAAGCTAAACATTTTAGTGCTATTAAATAAAGCGTAAGCAAGCACTTGCTTTTTAAATATATATATATATAAAAGCTACAGTTAAAAACATAGTACTAAAAGCTATAGTTTTAACATTTAAAAAACAAAAAGCTAGTTTTAACAATAGCTATACTACCTTAAGCTGCCAACTTTTTTAATAACCTACGCGGGGTTTTAGCGGCTTAGTTCTTTGCTTATAGGTCCTAAAGCCTTAGCTGTTATAAAGGTTTATAGTTAGCTACCTGCTTGCCTAGCAAGTCTAGTACAGTAAGCTCCCTTTTACTGCTTTATATGCCCTTAAGCTTAAAAACAACAGTAATATTTTATATACCCTTACCTTTAGCTAGCTACTATTCAGCAGTCCTTTAGAAGCCTAGCCTTTAAAACATAGTTTTTAAAAGTAGTAGCCTATTAAAAAAGTAACACTTTTAAAAATAACCAACCTTTTAATAGCTATTAAAAGCTTATAGCTAACAAGCGTTTAAAGCAGCTTAATAATAATATTTTTTTTATTTTAGTTTTTTTATTTTAATATATATTAAAAACAACAGCTTAAATATATTAATATAATAAAAATTAAATAATCTATTTATTTTTATTAGTTATAAAAAATTATAATAATTAACTATTACGCTTTTAAATAATTAATAAAAAATTATTATAATTAAATATAAAGTTTTAAAATTATATGCTTTTATTTACTTTTTAAATAAACATTAATATTAAAAAAATTAAAAAAAAGTTAAAAATAGTTTAATTATATAAATAAAATTAAAAAAGTTAATATAAAAAGTTTTTTATAAGTTTTTTATTTTATTAGTTTTTTTTTTTAATTATAAACAAGCTTTTAAACAGTTTATAGCTATAAAAAAAATTAATATATTAGTAAATTTAACATAAAATAAATAAAAAACTAGCCTACAGCTAAAAAAAAAAATAGTTAAAGCTTAATAAAGTAGTTAATTAATTTTTAAACCACCCAGGTCCCAGGGGGACCTAGCACCTATATATATAGCTAGAACCTAGAAATATAACCACCCTACGGGTTGGTTATATTGTCACCTGACAATAGTACGCAGTTACTACAATTCACTCGAACCTAGATACAGATTATATTGTTTAGGCATCATGCAGTATACATATCTAGAGATGAATGGTCACATGTGACTGAATAGGGTAGGCTGAAGTAGGTAGAAAGACCCCTAGGCCTTCCTATCACATGTCAAAGTCCTTGCAGCACACACCAAGATATCAGGGCGTTACACAAGACCTCTACTAATATCTTAACACGAATGAGCTTCAACATGCTAATATATACAGCAACTGCGTATTAAGGAGTATGATTGCAATGCTGGTTAAGGGTCCAGGTAATCACTTGTGGCTCCCTTACTATTACCTTAGAGAAGCTAAAACGACAAAGTAATGCTATAGCCCATGAAGAACAAGATACAGTTCATACTATCAGAGTTACAACTGGGCTAGACCATGTATGTTGACGAGGAACAAAAGGTCAAGAATAACACAATAGTGAGGCTCTAGTTAGCGTAGAGATGCCCTTGCTTTCAGCAATATTGCCAGACAACAAGTTGAATTGCGCGACAGAGGTAGCCTCAACGAACATCAACGATCCCAGTACTAGATGGGGTCCTGTTCGGCGGCTTCGGGTGTGCTTTGTTAATCATCCTCCACCCTTCCTCAGGCATGAAAGGATAACATGCTGTTCGGCCAGCGCCCAATAGGGGATTCGTTTACACGGCTGACAATGGCCCTCTCACCGTTTCTAGGCATTCACTAGATGCTTCGAATTGGTGTTGTTGGATTTTCGCACAAGCAACCGCTCAGCCTACGTTTCATAGCCTACGACTTGAGTAACTGGCATGCCGAGGAACCTAGAGCGAAACGCTAAGTAGATCACGATAGGCCGTTTGCCTTCCTGGCCGGGCTCGGGGTTTCGAGAAAGTTCTTCGAGCGTTGCTTCAATGGCTTGACGTTCCCTATTAGCGGCATCCCAAGCCATGGTTTCCGTTTCGCTGCGCGCAGCCTCCACACTGATACTCTTTAATTCCTGGATCGGCCCGGTACTCTTCTCCGGCTCTGCAACTTCGGCTGCCGGCTTGTCGCCTTCTGCTTTACTTGCCGACTTCGTATCAGCGATTCCCTCCGCCTTAGCTTGGGATGGTGCTAGCAGCTTGTTGACATTTATATTTCTCTGAGTTGCGGTTCGGCTCGACTTGTACTTGGGTCTTCTCGCGCCTCGTGCATCCAGCCACACAGTTCGGGCTTCGAGCGTGTCGGGCCCAGGACGGGGCAGCTTTGCCTTAAGAGCTTTAAATGAGAGGACTTGGAGAATCTACATCATCTGGTTAGCTAGTTTCTTTTGACAAACACGTTATGCCTTTTACATTGTGCGGGCTGGAAGTGCTAGTGAGGGCAGTAATCTTGCTAGGGTCCTCAGACCACGTGTTCTTGGGAGCAAAGAACTTGTCCTTCCGTTTTGCGTCGAGGTTCCCGTGGAAAACTTCGTTCCAGACGGCGTCTTGTAGGTCAGCACCAAGGCCGGCCTTAGGCATACGAAGTCTCTTGGGGAACCTTTTACTGCGAGTAAGCGCTAGTTCAATCATTCGAGCATTCCTATTACTCACCATCCAAGATGCCTGGTGAGAGCATCGGGGTTATACGGATCGGCTCCTAGACAGCCCCCATCCTCCCATTCTTGGTATCCGTTGACCTTGGACCACCGTTTGAGAAGTTTGTACCCCAGGGGATAGATGTCCTTAGGATCCTCCTCCATGCGATTATTCAGATCGAACGACATCTTCGGCTTGTTGTCATCAATGGCGTTGAAGTCGTCCTCGTTCAAAAGATATTCGCTATATATTTGTGGAGTGCTTCCTGGCCCCGGAAATGTTTTAATGTCCTTCATCGACCAGGCAGTGATTCTCTCCCAGCGGAAGTAGTTGACCTCTTTGGCAGCCTGATTACCCGTGGTGGTATACTTGGGTCTACATCTCTGCCCATTAAACACTAGGGGATTCTCCTCATCGTAATAGCCGTCACCGTCGGAGTCTTCAATGGTTGCGAGTTCGTGTCTCCACCGAGCAAAATGAAGAGTCCCAACAGGCGGATCATGAGGACGCACTCTCCCCCCGGGGCCGGGTCCGTAGAAACGGATAGGTGCTGGCTGGTGCGTACCATCGAGTGCATGGAAGGAGTAGAGTTGTTCGCATATCTCCCTTAGTGCTGCCTCTTCCGCCACACGGTTCTTGCCCTTATCTGTTAGCGTATTCCAGCCCACCGGGGCCACGGCACGCTCAACAACGGGTGATAAATGGTTCATGTTGGGCTCAAT